CTCAAAACACGATGATGAACACAAAAAAACACTAGGAAAACGCAAATTTTAAATTTATTTTTTCTTTACTAAAAACATCGATAACAGAAAACATTATATTTTTCAGTCAGCCTATTTCATTCATTATTCGCTCCGTGCGTGTCAGCAGCGCCAACTATTTTTATGAACTAACGGACGATATTTGCGTATACTGACAATACAATTTTTAATAGAGTTCGTAATTAAAAAAATATATGTTAAATTTAATAAAAGTATATAGATTTGTAAAAAAAGTGAAAAAATTATTATTATTATTATTTTATATTTTTATTACTTCAGCTAATAAAAAGTAGTATAATCAATAAAAAGCAATAATAAAACATAGGCAGGTATTTACGAGAAAATGTATGAGATCTTGCCTAAGCCTAATAAGTTGTCATTGAAGAACAGGTTAAATAATAGTCAAAATAAAAACATTACCATTATATAATAACGTAGAATTAAAACATATTGACAAAAATAATTGGTATATTTGTGATTGTAATTTATATTTTCTTCATTTTTAGTTCGAAAGAACCCATAGAAATTAAAGACTAAAACTGGTTTCCTATCAATAAGTCACAAGATTGCATTTCAGCCATATACAATAATCACAGGCAGAAATCTAATCATTTGTTAAACATTTAAGATTCAAGGGATGTTGAAGAATATCATAAAATAATAATTTATTGTTTATTTAAAACCTTTTCTGATGTCTATTATTTCCAGTATTACTGTTATTATTACAAAAATGAAGGTTATTTCTTTTTATTATACAGCGGTCCATTTATTTTTTTGATTTAGTTTCGATTTTGCTACTGAAAATTTATATAATTTACAGTTTTTTTTGCTAGTATAATTTGCAACATAACAACTCCGGTTGCTCATTTTATTATTTTTAACCTATTTTTTTAGTAAAAAGTAAAATGTATACGTGTATTTAATACGCCAAAATTACAAAATATCGCCCTAAAGTACTCGAATTGTCCGCAGCTTGCGCTAGTATCGCTTTTGCTTCCCCTACCATGACTACGCACTCATCGAATAGACCGCAGCTATGTTTTAACATGTCTAAACTTTCTTTCGATTAACTCTTCGTTGGTGGAAGAGCCATAAATAATTTGTAAACCACTTTGTATGTCTGGATAAAATTCACAATGTTGGACGTTATATTATTAATGGAGAGCTTATTGTGTGCAGAAAGCTCTTTCGTACTCCAGTTTGGTATTCAGCTTCAAAATTGTCGATCCCAAATTTTTCCACTACTTTCATTTTCCAATCGGTAGTGAAAAAAGTATTTTTTTTATGTTATTGGGATGTAACAGGCTTAAGGAAAAACTAACAGAGTCTTCGGAAAAGCGTTATGTAAGCGACGTAAGGGAATCCAGATATGCAATAAATATATTACACCTATAATATTATTATTTTTATGAGATTGTTGTTCGTAATGTATATCTTACGCGTTGTTGATTAAGTTGTAAAAGCCAGGAAGGCAACTGCCCCCCTTGCCCCCCCCCCCCAAACGACGCCCATGGTGATGATAAATTTCAATTTAAACATCTATACTGTGACTTTTTTAGTTAATGCGTAATCACGAAAAGAAATCTAAAGGTGACGATCAGGTAATCTAGTTGGCCACTTCAATGAACCCTCCAGACAATCCAGTGCCCTGGAAAATGTTCATCTGTTGTGTTGTACTTCATGAATTGAGTTTTTTAATATAAATGAGTTGTTTGAAGCTTCTAGATAATTCTAAGCTATCTGGATATTTGAGTAGAATATTTATTTCTAATGACACTGGTTAGGGATATAAGCTTGTAGAATTGGAAATTTCTAGTTTTTCAGGTTTAGATGTTATAAACAAATTTAATAACAATAATAATAATATTTTATTTTCATGCTGCCTAATTGCACATAAAAATAAATGAACTGTAAGTGGATAATGACCCTATTAAAATGTAATCACTGACTGATAATGAGATCATGCCTACTTTCATAAAACTATTATTTAAGTAAAAATACCAGTACTGTTTAAAGATAAAGATTTGAGATTAGGTAAATTGCTTTTATTGAATACCAATGTTTTATTTTTAAATCTGTGTTAAACCACTTTAAAAAATTATTTATCATGATCAAATATTAGTTATATAGGGTTGGGTTTCGTGTTTTCGCTTTGGGTGACTAATTTATTTGTTTCCATTCTTTTGTATTTTTTATTTAATATTAAAAAAACTATATGTCCTTCGCATTACATATTAAAAATTATAGTCAAATAAACTAATAAGTTTTTAAAAAAGCTGCCGTTCCAAAATCCTGAAAAAACCGGATACTTACATGTTCTAAAAATCTTTCGATTTATTAACACATACAAAATGCCGTTAAGCCTCCAGGAATTCATTCAATTCATTTTAATTCAATAAAAAAAATAAATTGGAGAATTCTGAGAGACCTATCGGTCAGTTTTTTGAATTTTGAAGTACTGTTCTACGGTTTCTTTTTCAGGATTTTGGAAAGGCGACTCGTTGATAGTGCCATAAGCATTTAAAATGTTCCTTTTGCTTCCTTCGACATTGTCTCAGGATTGGTCTTTCGGATTGGTATTACTGCATCCTCAGATATGAACATCTAAGTACCTATTACAGGACTGACTAAAATTTAACTATATTAATTAATATATTTTTCTGTTTGTTTTATTATTTCTTTTTTTAATCAAATACTGTTTTTCTATTTGTAGTAGATATACTTAGCTGTTTAGTTTTATGTATTTGTCTCGCAATTAGCATAAATTTTATATTTTTGTAAATTTACTGTCATAAATCATAAAAAACAAAAATATTACTTTTTTTTAATATATACCCAGTAACCATCCTAAATCCTATACAAAGTAATGCAAAAGTTTATAAAAAAAAATAGAAACAAGCAGTTTCTGAGGAAAATCCTGAGACAGATCGATTTCAATTGATTCTACTAATTCATTTACAACTAGGGTCTAGTAAGCCATAAACCTAAAACAGAAGAACATAATCACTGCCTACGGAATTTATTCTGCTTCAAATATACATGGTGTACCAATCTTGTGGAAAAGTTCAATATCTTCTCTGTTGTAAGAGATATTAAAAAATGTATTAACATAAAGTATAGGGTAGTTTAAGGGTCGCATTTTAAAATTACTAAGAGATATAGGGATTTGAATAACTCGGATATATGTACCAGACATTTGCTTTTTAAACTAAATGACCAGTATATTATTTTAGATTTAGATTACTCTCTTTTTTTTATTTTCCTCATACATAGTTTTTTTAGGTTATATAGGGTGCTCTAAAAGAAATTGGCCTTTTTGTAAAAAAATCGTAAATAAATCAAGGCCCTGTAGCCAATTACACAATGTAAAAAAATATCATGTATTATATTTTTCTTTACTGTCGTTTTTATTCTCTGGTTATTAGTATACAAGGTAGATTTAGGCCGAAACACCAAACAATAACAATGCTTTGGAGAAGTACTCAAACACTATCCAAAGCACAATAAATATATACAGATAACAGACAAGCACTACTCACCCTGAACAGACCACGAATTTATTCAGGGTTAGTACTAGAATGTCACGAAGCTTTGGATGAAGTATCCATCAACAATGTGGTCACCTTAAGATGGATCAAAGGTCACGCCACATCGAAAGGTAACCGTCTTGCTGATTCACTATCCAAGAAAGCAGCCAACTAAATACTTTTTGGACCTTGCCCTTCTATTGGCCTGACAAAATCGGTAGTGACAGACCTAATTAAAGAACATTCCCTTGTGAAATTCAAGGAAAGATGGGATGAAACAAGAAACTGCAGAGTTACCAGGGAGCTCTTAAGTTATCCTGACAACACTGCAGCAAACAAATACTTGACTATGACTAGACAGAATCTGCGCCTAGTCATAGGCATTCTGACTGGTCATTGCTAAGTACGGAAGCATCTCCATATCATGAGGTTGTCAGAATCCGCACTCTTCAGAGGGTGCGAACAAGAAGATGAGACCATCGAGAATATCCTTTACGATTGCTCGATGCTCTCATTTATTAGAAGATTTGTTTTCGGCGAGTATCGGCTAACACCGGCTGATATAAGAGAAGCACCTCTTGGCGACGTTGTCAACTACATTAAATCTGTAGGCTGGCTCACGAGCTAGGAGGTGCCTATCATCTTAGGAGGATGCACAATGGGCCTAATGAGGCCTAAGTGCCGTGGGGGTAACTTACCCTCCACACGTTACAGATACAGATATAGTATACAAGGTGACTTAATACTCGAACCCTTGATTTTCATGTTTTATTTAAATTGGACACCCTTATCTTGTAATACCTACCAGTAGAATCCTCTGTAATAATCATTCTATATTTATTAAGCATTCTTTATGCCTAAAGTTAATGATTTTCGATATTTTGTAACGTGAACGTTAAATGAAAATTTTGGTTATTTCTATAATTAAAATTAGTTTAAAAAAACTCTTAAAAAATTTAAATGTGCGAAATTAAGAAAAAAAGAAAAGTTATAAAAGTTGTTCAACATCAATACAGGTTCAAATTCGAATTTTCATATCCTATTTCGTCGTTAACTAGATTTTTTACATCATTCCAAAGAAAAAGTCAATTTTTGTTAAATCCGGTGATCGAGTTGACCACCCTAGTGGCCCTCCTCTCCCTACTTACTTTCTTGGAATTTGATTATTTGGGTAACTGTGGATTAGTGCGGTGTGATGGACAGGTACACCATCGTGCTTAAACCACATTTATTGGCTAATGTGAAGGAGACCATAACTGAGTATTAACGGCAAATGATTTTCAAAGAAATTTAAATATACTATTTACTTCAAAAAAGAGTGGTCCAATGACATAATCACTTACTATACTATAAAGTGTGGGTTTTATGTAAATAATATTGAAAGTTATGCCTATTTAAACTTTATTTTTATTTAATTACAATTTTTCTATGCAGAGTAAGAGTGTATGGTCCAGGAATTGAACCAACAGGCCCAGTGGTTGGAGCCCCAGCAGTATTCACAGTAGAAACATTCTCAGCTGGCAGAGGAGACATAGAAGTCATCGTCGAAGATTCCAGGGGCCAAAGAGAGCACGCCGACATCAAATTTAACAACGACAAGAATCTGACATATACAGTGGCCTACGTCCCACAGCACGAAGGTCCTCATACTGTCAACGTAAA